ATCCCCTTACAGAACAATAAACTGAAATAAATACAGTTAATAAATTTCTTAATGCCAAATAACACCATCTTTTTTTGTGCTTAATCCTGATAGGAAGAACACTCTCAGATGCAGTTCTTATTCCTTCAGGACAGATTTTTTATTTAAATCAAATCTGGATTTATAATCTCTAATGATAAATATGTAAAGAAAAATTTTAAAGTCTAATATTCTTGGCTTTTAAAAGGAAATATTATCCACAAATTCAACACAAGTGGCTATATATACTAGGAAATGCATATAAAGTTTTACAAACAGTTTGAAATTACACCTGCCACCACTAGGCCAGATCAAAATGTGCTGGGCCAATACTCCAAGACCAGGCTGCACTGCATGTAGCTCCTGGCTCAGGCAAAAATGAGACCTAAGGAATTTGATTTAGTGACAGGGTGTGGCTAGTTTCCCCAGGCCTCCAGAAGTTCCAGAGGTTTACTTCCAGAGTTCCAGGGTTAATAATATTAATCGAATAGTACAAGGAAACCTTTTAAGAGTCTACATAAATATTTCAAATCACAATAACCAATATCTTTACCATAGCCAATATTTACATAATGTTAGATTTAATAAGGCCTTCCTACAGGTTTATCCTAAAGGCAAGGAGAGATAATTCCTTCTAACCCTCTATAACCTTATCTATTGGTTTTCAAATCAAACTACAAAATTTTTATTTTCAACCTTTCTACTTAGAACAAAATCAAACTTCCTTACACTGAGATCTGAGCTATCCAAGGATGGGGGTGCTTAGAGCACATGGGTTTGCTGCTGCCCACCCCACTCCCATCTATCTCCAAATGTTTTTTTTCTCTATCTTTCATATTTTTGCTCAAGCCTTTATGTCTCTTTCTTAATCTTTCAAACTCATTACTCAGACTACTTCCATTTTCCTTTACATTCCAAATTAAAATTATACTTACCCCAATTTCTCCTGCTTGTCTTCACAGTTTAGAATCTGGAGCGAGTTAATGCCTAACAATTTACAAATCAAGAGAGCTTGCATTTCTCCCATACCTTCACAAACTGCTTTTATAACTTTAATGCTTAAAAGACAGAAAAACTATTATTTTTGCAGTTTTAAACACATTTCCATGATATCAGATACATTGGCAGGAGTGGGTAAAAGGCAGTTCTCTAGATTTAATTTAAACATAAAGCATAAACTTTAGCTTTGGGATCTGATTAAACCTGAATTCAAACCCTCAGCTCTTCCCTCTCTAAGCCCTTGCCTGGTTTAGATTCTTATCAGTTTAAAAACTGCTTGATCTAACTTTATTCTGGTATCCCAACTTGGCCAGTGTTGGGAACCCCCCCCCAAAAAAAAAAAACAGGCTGAAAGCCTAAGGTGGGAGTTCTTTCCCAATGTTCTGTCTCTAATTACAGACCTTCGAAATTTTTCTGGCTGCATTTTAAATCTTTTACCATAAACATAAAACATGACAGTCAGAGACAGAGTCACCACAAACATGAAACATGACAGCCACAGAAACACAGAGACACAGAATGACAAGACAGGGTGCACACAGATCTAATTCTCTTGTTGGCTTTTTAGGCTTAGTTCGTTTTTAAGATAAACCAATTTAGAATTAGACTGGTCAAAATTCAGTTATCCTTTAGTTCCACATCCTTCTAAAAGCAACCAATTCAGATTACAATACAATTTATCACATGCCAATTTACTTTGACTGATCATAGCCAAATTACAAAGGATCTTTTCCTTCCAGGAAACCTGTCTAGATCTCTGCCCCCAGAGCCACTTGGAGAAAAACAGACTGCAACCTAATATGGGGAGTCTGATACATAAGGAGCAGGTATTTGGGGGATAAGACTCACCCATCCTTCAGGGCTGGGATTTCAGGAGGAAAATCCTGTGGGCACCCAGACTTAGCGCTGTTGAGGTGAAAAAGCCCTCCCCAAATCCCAGTCCAAATCCAAGTCATGGGACCATTAAATGTCAAACCCCAACAAATTAGAGTCTATTCTAAGAGGCAAATGAAATTAGGGTACATGTATCCACGGTTTGATTTCTCTCAAGCTGGCATGACATACATTGCATGGCAGTTCAGTCCAAAACTGGAGCTGGCTAAGGGGGCCAGTTCAAAACTGACTCTATTTGGGATTTGGGGGTACAGGGCTATAGACCCTTTCAACAGGAGTTCATATCAACCCGCCATCATTCCAGACCACTCCCAGCCTCCTTCTATCTAGACATTGTATCTGTCTCCACCAAAGCCTGAGTAGGATAAAATCAGTTCAGGTTCGGGTTGGGTTTGACCAAGATAAGAAGATTTAATGCAATCTTATCATCAGTAATGTCCTTCTGAAGAACTTTGGAGCAGAAGGCTGTGGGGTAGAGCTCTGAGTCTAGAAATCATTTTTCATAAGGGTAACACAGATTTTACACATTTATTGGGGTGGGGTTGGGGGGCAATAGCTCTTTGGAGGGCTGTCATGTGAAAGAAAGATTAGACTTTATCTCTTTGACTCTCAAAGGTTAGAAGTAGCAAAAATATTAAATTTAGGCTTAATAGAAGAGAAAACTGTCTAACAATTAGAGCCATTCAAAAATAGAATTATCTGCCTCTGCAAGCTTTAAGTTCCCCATCATGAGAGGTCTTCAAGAAGAAGCCCTTGCCAGGGATGTTATAAAAAGGTAGATGGTGTGATAGAAGCAATTGACTTAGAACAACACAACTTGACTGGCCCTGGAGTCAGGAAGACCTGAGTTCAAATCTGGCCTCACACACTTACTAGTAGTGTGACCCTGGGTAAGTCACCTAACCCTCATTGCCTCTAAAAAACAAATGAAAGAATTGGAGAACAAGAATTAAATCCCACCTTAACATTTGCTGTGTGGCCACAGACAGGTCAGTTCCCCACCCTTATATTCAGTTTTCTCATCTATAAAAAGAATATAGTGGTATCTATAATGCCTCCTTCACAGCTTTGTATTGAGAATCAAACATGATGAAGTATGTATAGTGTTTTGCAAACCTGAAAGGGATGTAAAAATGCCAGCTTTTATTGTTTAAGGGGATTTTTGTGTCAGGTATGAGTTGGAGTAGAAGATCCTCACTTCCCTTCCAACTTTAAGAGTTTGTGACTGGATAATATCTAAGATCTTTTCCATACATAGGATTCTGTGGTTGTAGAAGTTCAAAGGAGGTGAGAAGGGAAGGGAATATATAGTGACTACTTTCTGCCAGGCACTGTGCAAATATTATCTTATTTAATTCTCACAACAACCCTGCAAGGTAAGCAGTATTAGCACCATTTTACAATTGAGGAAACTGAGGCAAACAGGTTGAGTGACTCACCGAGGGTCACACAGCTACTAAGTATCTGAGGTAGGATTTGAACTCAGGTCTTTCTGATTCTAGGTCCAGTGATCTATCTGCTGTATCGCCTAAATTCTTTCACCTGAAATGAGAAAGTCTTTTTCTTATACAGGGAGGGGAAGAAGGGAATAAGAGTTTATTAAATGCCTGCTATGTGCCAGGCACTGTTAAGTGCATTATAACTATTATATCATTTGATCTTCATAACAAACTATTATTATCTCCATTTTACAGTTGAGGAAACTGAAGCAGGAAGTGACTTGCTCAAGGTCACATAACTAGTATTGAACACTGGATCTGAACTCAGGACTTCCTGACTCCAGGTCCTGTACTCTGTCCCCTGTGCCACCTAAGGGCCTATGTGACCTGAGTATCCTGGTTATACTCTGTATTTTCTTTTGTTTACACAGCTCCAGTACCAAGGCAGTCCCTTCAGTGACCCAGGCTTCTCAGCCCCTGAGCTCCAGCTGAGCAGCCTGGCCCCTGCAGCTGTCCCCTTCACATTGTGGCGTGGCCTGGGAGATGGTGAGAGGCTGCTCCAGGTCCATCGTGCTTTCTCAGCCCTGGCCCAGCACCTGCAGCTTGTGAGTGATGACCAGGCTGACCTGAACCCTGGCAGTTCTGTCTTGCTGTCTCAACTTGCAGCTGCAAGGCTCCGAGCCCAGGGCCTGATGGGCAATATAGCTTCTGTCATGACGGTCTTGGGGGTGTCCATTCCTCTTGAAGTGGATACTCTTGGCTCTGCACCGTTTGGAGCCTCTGTCTTTCAAAGGAAATGTCGGGGCTACGTGGTGACCCGGGAATATGAACACTGGACAGACAGAGCTGTGCAGGACCTGGCTGTGCTTAAGGCCAAATATGTGGCATAGTGAGCAGTCTGGACTTCTGTCTGAAATGGCAACTTTCGAGCTTCAGCATGGACAATATCCTGTTTTATCATCTGTTCACTTTTGAGAGGAAGGGAAAGATTTGCAGTGTACTGTTCCTTAGGGGTCAGCCAGCTCCCATGAAGTTGTGCCTCCCTATCTGTCCTCTGGAGCCATTGACCTGATTTCCCCAGTGTTCCTGCTTAGTAGAGAGCCCCCCAAGTGGCTTTCCCCAGTGGTGTTGGCTGTGCCCAGATGGTGCTGGCAGAACCTCCTTTGTAGAGGGGTGTGAACAGGTGGCTTGGGGCCAGTTCTATACGGAACACCTTTAGTTATTTCAGGCTTTCTCACTGATTTGGGCATGTGCAGTATAGGGTATAATGCCCTGTGTGAATGGATTTCACTTCCTACCTCTAGAGGGATTAATTTCCTCATTTAGTCTACCTCAGCACCCGTGACTTTGGGCTCCTGCTGCCTCTCAACAGATGCCATTGCCTTTTCTATGTTAGCTATTTCCTATAATTTAATGTTAAATATTCACTTTTTCTTCAAATCATATCTATTCCACACACAATATCCTTTCATTTTCTGGCTCTCAGGGTGAAAAGATGTCATTGTCTAGGGAATCTCAGTTCCTTTATTTAATGCCCTATTTATATTGCATCCCTGAAATTTGTGTTTAATCTATCCCAAGAAACAACCCCAATCCCCTCCAACACTGTTCTTCCCAAGTCCAAGAACTGTACATTGAAGGACATTTTTTTTAATTTACCAAAAAATTAATTTATTCTCAGAAATAAAAATCTCCTTTTCAGGGGGATCTTTTTCACAGACCTCATAGCTTGGTGTGCTAGAATCAGGGGATTAGAGGAATGAGGAAGAGAAAGAGGTATAGAGGGGTAAAAAGGTGGACTTGGGCTATGGGAAACAAGAGATCCATGAGGGGACAGGGTATGAATTGGGGGTAATGATGCAGGAGACAATGTGGGCTTCAAAGGTAATTAGGCTGAAGGCTCCTCTAGGTAAATGTCTTGGAACTTTCTTCTACAGTGATCTCTTAAGCAGATATTGACTGACCCTAGGGCCCAATCCAAAGCTGAGAAGCACAGGAAGAGAGAATGAAGTAGACAGAGAGGCTCTGAGATGGAGATAATAGGAGGGGTATGCTAGTGAAGGGATAGTGACAGAAGATGAGGATGGAGTGGGAAGGAAGCTAGTTGGTGGCCCTTCATGGGGGAAGATGTGGGGTAAGGTAGGCTCCTCTCTCAGCCTAGCCCTGCCCGCAGCAGCTGACCCAGGTCACCTTCTGTGCAGCTTACCCACTCCTGGTACAACCCACATACCCTGTAACCCAACAACTTAGCCAGGAAGACCCCAGGATTCTCAGGGAGCATGGGGTGGGGCCCTGGGGGGCCTGGGGTTGCACCTAGTGCCCCCAGAACAACTTCTACAGCACTCCCCAGTGCCCTTGACTGGTGAGAGGCATCTTCCAGCCGTCGGAGGAGCCGACGGGCAAAAGGGTTGAGATCAGCCTGGAGGTGGCGGATGGTATCCAGCAGTGGGGACAGTGAGTTCAGGGCAGCTGCATCAAGCTGCAGCCGCTCAAGGGTGGGGAGCCCTGAATGAGTTGGGGCTGGGGAGTTCAGCCCGGGCACTGGTAACCCAGGGGGAGAGAAGCTGGGCAGCCCGAAAGGGTCCCCCTGGTGCTGGACCTGTAAGGGAAGGGTGGGGAGAAGCATTAGGAGGAGTCTTTTCTTCCCCTTGGACAGACCCTCCCTGGAGGATCCCACTTAAGGCAATGGACCCCCAGTCTTCTATAAAAGTCCCAGGCAAGAGCAACACCTCTGAATAGGAACTGCTTATGCTATACCATTACCTTATTTTCTACTAGCCTTGGTGAAGCCTATGAGGCCTCTTTGCTCTCCTTGCTTGGTTGCTGTTAGGAAAACTGATCCTCTTTGTGCTATAAAAATCCTCCTCATCAATAACACAAGATTTTTCTTCCTTCCCACTGCCCCCCTCCAAATGTTGGAAGGTGGAAGACTTCTGTTCTTCCTCCCAGGGGAACATTCCCCTTTGCAGGGCTGGATCCCAATTAGAATCATAGAATCTGGAATAATTTTATAGGAAACTGAGGCACAGAAGGGATAACTGAGTTGCCCAAGGTCACACAAGTATAAACAGAGTCAGAAATAGAAACTAGTTCTTTTTCACTTACACTGTGGTTTTTCCAAGTCAGAGTTAGCGGGGAGGTATTGTAGCAGAGATAGTCCACAACAGTATTAATCTAACAGTAAATAGCCTATGGATCATGAGGATTTGAATTTGGATGCATGGCATAATATTTCCCTCCCACCTTCCACCAATTTCATTTATGCCAGTGTTAATGTTTCCGTTTCATCAGCACTCAGCGGCTTGTCAGGCAAGGCTGGTGGTGGTGTAGGGGGTGGGAGGGAGCCTGCCAGGCAGTGGAAAGATAAAGCTTTTGATGATTAACAACTTGACCTGAATGGAAAGCTGACAGGAGGTGGATTTTCCTCTACGCATGTGGGAATGAGTTCTCATCTTCCTTGTTTCTAATTCTGAAGCTGCCTACCCTTTAAGATGAAGCCAAGCCTGGTCTGATGTCAAGAACTCCAGCCTGAGAATTAGTGGTCCTAGATTCTAATCCTGGTTCTAACATTGATTCACTGTGTGACCCTGGGCAAGTCCTTTCCACTTCTCAGTTTCTTCTTCTGTATAATGGTGGAATTGGAGTAGAGGGTCTTTCCAAGGCTTGCCCCTAAAACTGAATAATTCAAAGAGTATAGAGCAATCTTCCCCACCCTTCCCCATCCCCTCCTCCACCCCACCACCTCCCATCTCTGTACTCACATATTCCTGAAGCAGCTGCTCAGCATAGCTAGTGAGGAGCCTTGCAAGACTGTGGGTCTGACGTATCTTGGCCTCAAGGTGGGAGAAAGATGAGGCCGAAGAATGGGACTGTAAGTCCACTGGAGGGGACAGGGGAGGATGAGGAGGGATCAAAACCCAGGTCCCCTGACATGACAGGTCTCCCCTCCTCCCATAGCATACTATTTTTAGTATTTAATTCATGGCTTGGTTCTCCATTCTCACCTTATGCCAACTAGGGCTATAGTCCTATCTTCCTCTACCCTACTGATCTGAAAGGAGAAATTGATCTATAGGGGCTGGAGGTAGGGAAGCAAGGAGATGCTTAGGAGATGTAAGGCCTGGAGGGGAGCTTGAATGTCTAATTACTAATTACTAATGACACAATTCCTAGGTGATTATGTATTATAGTACCCTGGAGTACCCTTTGATAAAACCAACTACAATTTGGAATACTGACAAGTTGACTGATTAATATCTTGAATTGGACTTAGACTCCTCTAAATTGGGAGTTCAGTTACTGAAGGGATTAGAAAGATCTAGTTCTTAATAATTTCTTTTGTAACCTAGTCCCATTGCATACATCCCCAAAGCCAAGAAGGGGAGATGCTAGGGCAGGGATTCTTAACTTTTTTTGTGTCATAGACTCTTTTCGCAGCCTGGCAAAACCTATGGACCCCTTCTCAGAATTATGTTTTTAAATGCATAAAATAAAATACATATTAATTATATTGAAAGTTTTCAAAATATTAAAATAAAACAAAACAAGTTCATGGACTTTTGGTTTAGAATCCCTGCTCTAGGGTGTAGAAAACACTTGACTATACATTCTGGCTTTGCTTTACTCTTAACAAGGAGAAAACTACATTTCCCAGCATGCAAAGAACTTAGGCAGACACTAGGCACATGGTGCTTAATATTGTAGGGGGAGGACTAATAAGAAGGAAGCGGCATGCAAAGGTGACCAAGTTCTTTAACCCATGTCTGCCCCCCAAGACCTATCACCCAAGATTCTCTTGCCACTTGCCCTATCTTTTTCTGCTCAGTTTCTCTCTCTCTCTCTCTCTCTCTCTCTCTCTCTCTCTCTCTCTCTCACACACACACACACACACACACACACACACACTCCCCAACTTTCTTCCAAAGACCCTCCCTCTCTTAACTGAAGTAGCCTATCACCTAGCTCTGGTTCTCCTTTATAAAGAGCAAAGATCTTCCTGGCATCCTACCCTCCCCCACCTCATTCCCCTCACCTAGTCGCTAATTGGCCCTCCTACTCTATTCAGACTCTGAGGCTCTTACTCCCCAGCCAGAGTCTGGTATTTTTGCCGAAGACTTTCAACCCCAGACTCTTTCCTCCTCTCCAACATACAAGGTGTCTAGTTCCCTAGCTCACTTCCATAGTCTCACTTCCACCTCAAGTTCTATTCTTTTATTTTCCCCCTCCAATCCCTTCCCCATTTTCTTAATCAGGTCCCTTTCCTTTCTCAGAATCCATACATTTGGCTCCTTAGCCACTAAGCTCTGCTTTCCAGAACACAGACATTACATTACAGCCCCGGGCACCTAACTTGTAGGTCCTAACCCTGCTCTTCCTATTAACCTGCAATCTTGCCCAGTTCCCAGCTTTCTCTTCTAGACCCAATTTTTCCAAGACCCAGAAGTCCCTTACCCTTGTTTCCCTCCCTCTGGCTCATGTTGGCCCCCTCCGTCCCCTGGCTGGTCCCGGTTCCCTACATGCCCCCTCCTCCCCTTCCCAGAGAGAAGAAGGAGGGAGGGAAAAGGGGGGTAGGGGGCGTGGTCCACTATCAACCAATCAGGGCCCACCCCAAACTCCCCCCACCTCACCCCAAGCCCAGATTCCAGGGCCCTGAGCTCACCTTTCAGCCCTGCCCTGAGGAGTGGAATAAGGCCTGGGAGGGATACTATAGGTCTTGGGGAGATAGAAATCATAAGGATCCCAGAGTGCTCCCTCCCAGGAAGCTTCAACTTTTCTCCTAGTCTAAGAACTGAGCAGAAAACTGTCACCTTGCTGATGAGGTCATCCAGAGAGAAAAGGGGCAGGCAGGGACTGTCAGAGTTCTGAGAGGGCAGTTAAGAGGAAAGAAGCTAGAAGTTAGGGTGGGGGTGGGGGGAAGGAAGAGGAGGACTCCTGGGTTCAGGGAGGGAACTGGCATGCCTGGAATTTGAAGAATGTGCCAACTGGATAGCTTTCCTGGGGATACACCAAGGGAACTACCTCCAGGAATTGGGGGGTTGAAGGGAGGAATGGGAAGAAATTTGCAGGGTTGATGGGGAAGGTGGCATGGGAGCTGTGTTATAGTCACAGGGATGTGCAGACATCAAGAGATCTACTACCATATGTTTGAACAGAGTCACATCTCAATTCCACCAATGAGACAGTCAAGCAAACTGACAGACAGACACATTTTAAAAGGACATCTAATATAGTATGGGGCACCCGCACAGGAATGAAACAGTGGTATCCATAAACACTTAGGCGCACGGCACAACCCCACTAGCTGACTATTAAACCAGTACCCACTGATGCTGTACACAGTGAGCCACATGTGTTCTAAAGGACTCTCACAAACACGCTCAGGAAGAAGGCACAGACATGCCCGCCAATTTGATACAGTTGCATTAATGCCCACAGTGATACATAATTGCCAACAGATACACACTTACACGCACATGCACTCAGAGGCAGAAACTCCACAGACACAAGGGGGCAGTCAAAGGAGCTCAAACCGAAATTGAGTAGGGACCTCCTCCTCTTCCTGCCCCCAGCCCTGGCCCTGCCTCTACTGCCAGGCCCTGGTCCTGTCTCTGGAGCGCAGGGGGCGCTGTGGGGGAGCCAGGGTGGGCGGGGAAGTAAGTCAGGACAGGGGGCGGAGTGTCTGGTCCAGCAGACTGCTGTTCCTTGGTTTCCCGGCTGCAGCAGGGAAATCCCCAAGCCAGAGCAGAACTAGGGGGCGGCTGGGGTAGGGGCGGGCTCGGAGGAGAAGCCAAAGAGAAGTGACAGGGAAGGAGACAGACACTGACGACAGGGAGCAGAAGAAAGGGAAGGAGAGACAGCGAGGGAGGCAGGAAGAGTGACTCACAGAGAGAAGGGAAGACGACAGACAGCACTGGGAAGGGAGGAGAGCAAAGAAAAAATATATATTTTTTTAAGCAGGAAGACAGGATGGAAAACCAAGAGGGAAAGGAAGAAAGGGAGTGAAACAAACAGACGGGGAGATTGAGAAGTGGGGGAAACAGGAAGCCAGTGAACAAGGGGTAGGGGGAGAAAGGGATAGCCTGGAAGGGAGGAAGAGGCAAAACTGAGCAAGGCGGAGAGGGCGCTCGAGGGGAGGAGAAGGGCATCAAGTGACCCAGAGAGAGGAGTCTGGGGAGTCCAGGAGGGGCAGAGCCGGGGTCCCTAGTGCAGGCCAGGTGGGCCTCTGGAGAAGCAACACCTCAGTTCTCATGGCGGGCCGGACGGTGAGGGCAGAGACCAGGAGCCGGGCCAAGGATGACATCAAGAAGGTGATGGCAACCATCGAAAAGGTCCGGAGATGGTGAGAGCAGGGGCCCGGGGACTGGAAGGCTTGGGTTTGAGACAGGGAGGAGGGGAAAAGGCAGTACCATGGGGTGAGAGCAGTGGGGTGAGGGTCTCAGACAGACCACTCTCCAAAGCTTTGGCTATCTACATCCATCCCACTAGGCTTCTGTTTTTCCCTTCTCCAAAGAAAGCTGTGCCATAGAACAGTGTGTTTTTCTGTGTTGGGGAGAGAGAGGTGTGTGTGTGTGTGTGTGTGTGTGTGTGTGTGTGTGTGTGTGAGACAGAGAGACAGACAGACAGACAGAGAGAGAGGGAGAGAGAGGGGGAGAGGGGGAGAGAGAGAGGGAGAGGGGAAGAGAGAGAGAAAGGGAGGGAGAGGGAGAATCTCTGATTGACCTGGCTCTGTGGATCACCCCCAGGGAGAAACGCTGGGTGACAGTGGGAGATACTTCCCTCCGTATCTACAAGTGGGTGCCTGTGGTGGACCCACATGAGGAGGTGAGAGAATTCAATTTCCTTTATGGCATCCTGGCTTTTCTACTATTCCTTTTCTTCTCTTCTTTGTAACATTATCAGTCTTTTCCCCCTAAACCAGCTCCTCCCCCTGCTTTACCTGTTTTTTTTTCTGTGGCACTACCATTTATCCCTGTCTCCCCTAACCATTGGATTCTTCCCTCTCATATCCTGTGGATTACTAAGTTCTGTTGAATCTTATCACTGCAATGACATTTGCATCTGTCCCCTCCTTTCTGTTTCTACTTGCTACCACCTTAGTACAGGCTCTCATTATTACCCAGCTAGGTTATTGCAATAGCCTCCAAATCCTTCCTTCACATTGCTGCGAGATGTTTTCCCTCTCCCTTCCCCCTCAGCTTCCCATATCTAGTCATGTCACTCCTTTGCCCAAAATCTTCTGTGGTTTCTGGTTGTTACCCAGAACAGGTCGAAGCTCTTCTGCCTGGCATTCAAGGCCCTCCCCAATTAGGCATCACCCAGCTTTGTGCACTTCCTCCCTGCAGCTTTCTTCCATCTTTACTGACTGCCTAAGCCAAAGTAGACTGTTTTCTGTCCCCTGTACTTTCCTGCCAATTTCTTTCACCTAAAATGTCCCCATCCCCTTCTCACCTGTTGAATTTTCACCCATTTTTAAAAGCTCAACTCAAATATTACCTTGCCACGAAGCTTTCCCTGGCCCCCATCAGTAACAGCTGCACCCCCTTCCCCCAAACCTGTAGAATAGTCTTTGCAAGTATGCAATGAACTGATTATGTATTCTTTTGGATTATTGTTATATGTGTCCTATCTCCCTAACTGGGCAGCTCCTGGAGGGTTGGTGTCTAATTTAAGTAGTAGAGGTGTCTAATTAATTTTTTTTATCCCCTCCATACCTTAGCACAATTTCCAGAACACTGGAGGTACCTAATGAATGTTTGTTGAAAAGAGCTGAATTCTTTCAGGGTTTAACTCTTTTCTCTTTCTTGGGAAACTTTCCTTCTCCCTCTCCCAACTAATTCATTCCTTTTTACTCTACCACTCTCGAACTCCCTTGTTTTTCCCTTCTGTAGGAACGTCGAAGGGTGGGAAGCGGGGCTGAAAGGCCCCGAGTCAGGGAGCGGAGGGGTCGGGGAGCCAGTCCAAGAGGGGGTGGTCCCCTCATCCTGCTTGACCTCAGTGGTATGTAGGGGTATCTGGATGGTGGGAGAATGGAAGTCTTGGGGGGGGGAGGAAAAGGAGGAAGAGGAGATCCTAAGGCAGGGGAAGCCGAGGCATCCAAGGCCCAACCCTCCCAGCCTCTCTTCCCAGCAGATGAGAATAGCAATCAGAGCTTCCATTCAGAGGGCTCCCTGCAAAAGGGCACAGAGCCCAGCCCAGGGGGAACTCCTCAGCCTAGCCGACCAGCCTCACCTGCTGCTCCACCAGATGGGTCTTCTGAAGATGCCCAGCCCCCAAGGCTGGGTCAGGAAAGAGGTAAGAATTCAAAGAACCTCTCCATTGGCTTCCCACTGTGATCTTTAGCTCCTTGTTCCCTGGGGTAACCTGATTTCTTGTTATTCCAGATCCAGGGGGTGTGACTATGGGTGGGACAGATGAACCTCCAATGCTGACCAAGGAAGAGCCTGTGCCCGAGTTATTGGAGGCTGAGGTAAGAAAGGCAGGCTTTGGAGCAGTAGGGAATGAGGGATGTGGGAAGGACTGGGGGGGGGGAGTGGGGGGGGTGCGGGGCAGGCAAGATTCTTTGAGTCTTGGAGAACTTATCCCCAATTCCTCCCCACCAGGTTCCTGAATCTTACCCAGTCTTTGAACCAGTTCCCCCTGTGCCTGAGGCAGCTGTGGGGGAAACTGAAGACTCAGAGGGGGCACCCCCTCTCAAGCGTATCTGTCCAGATGCCCCTGAAGGCAGTCCGCTTCCCCCAGATCCTTGAGCCTAAAAAGCTGATCCATAACCTGTTGTGTCCCCCCTGGCTTTTTACAAATAAAGAACCTTTTGTAGCCAAGTATCCTATCTCTTCAGCCAGAACACCAAGGTTCTGCCTGATATCCTCTCGTTCTCCATCCCAGGAAGCTGGACTGTCCCAACAATGCAAGAAGTAGACACCAGGAACCCATAAATACCCATATCTCTCTTATTGGAGAAGAGAAATGAGGAAGAGGGGAATGAGAAGATAGACTATGTGCTGAGACCTAGAAGGATTAGGGTTCTTCTCTCTTCTGTCCTTCTCTCGTGTTCTCCCTTCTACCCTTTCTCTTCCGTTTTCTTTCCTTCCTCTCTTACAAATTCAATCCTCCCCTGTGCAAGCTCCCCTTTTGATTTAAAAAAATTTTTTTAAAATATGAAATTAGTCACCAATACAAACATTTCAACATATAAAGAATGAGATCATATAAGAAACTTTCAATTTGTTATGTAGCCTAACAAAATACATATTGTTTAACAAGGTAGTAACAAAATCACTGTGTCCCCTTTGGTATTTTTTTTTCTTCTGTGCATTTAAAAATATTTTTATTGATATTCTGTTATTTCATGCCTATCAATTTCCACTAATCTAGATCTTCCCTTCAGTAGGCTTCTCTTGATACAGTTAAGCAAAACAAACCAACACATTGACCTTGAGTGAGAATGTGTTTCTCATTCTTCACTTCTAGTCCACCATCTCTCTGCCAAAGGGCAGGATGTATGTTTCATCATGAGTCTTTTGAAGTCATAAATGGGCATTGCTTTGGTTGGAGTTCTGAGGTCTTTTAAAGTTGTTTCCGGTCACATTATTATCATGGTCTTCTGATTGTTCTAGTTTAACTTTATATCAGTTCATTCAAGTCTTTCCATACTTTCAGGAATACGTCATGTTAGTCATTTCTTATGATACAATAATATTCCCATATATTCCCATACCACAACTTACTTGTGCAGCTGTTACCCAGTTGAAAGGTACTTATTTTTGTTTCCAATTCTTTATTGCAACAGAAAGTGCTGTTATGGTCTTATAAAATTATGTGGGTGCTTAGATGCCCTTGACCTGATTGTCGTATAATGTTGGGCATTTTTTCCTACAAATATTGTAAGATCATTTGGACTATATATGATATAGAATGCTTGTTTGCTCAGATGAATTTGTACTTGTACTCCTAGGGAAAAACCATTCACCTAAACCCCTCATATTCTTCCTCTGCCATGTGAGCACATTTTGAAGCAAATTTGTATTTCCTTAACCAGACAGAGTTGTTGAGGGGGGCCATACTATTATAGCATCAGGTTGCATATGAAGTCTTTTACTGGTTTTCTATACATGTCTAGGCCAAGTCTTCCTTGATATTACTTCCACACAAACCCATTTGCAAGTCTCATTGTGTTAATGGAGCTGGAATGAGATGTTTCCAAAAACATTTTCTGTACTAGGAACAGTTAAAGGTCTCTTTATGTTGACTGTGGAATGGAATATATATTTCCTTACAAGCCTTATATTATAGGATCTTAGTTTATGTTTACTGTTCAAAGCCTTCAATAGCACCTTCAGGGAAGTAACTGAGCATGCAACTACAAACCCTACTCATTCAGAAGGAGCTTGTTTTAGAACTGGAAGATGACCTCAGAGGCCATTTGTCCAATGGTGTCAAACTCAAATAGGAATTGGGGCCACTATTCCATAATAAGGAGCCCTGAGGGCTGCATGTTGACTTAATTTTCTAATATAATGTTATCTCCATTTTATTGTATTTTTATGTGTTTTGTTAAATATTTCCCAATTACATTTCAGTCTGGTTCTGGCCTCCCTCAAAAGTGCTGTGAGCCATACCACCTGCCTGTTTGACACCTCTGATCTGGTCAAACCCCCTAATTTTCCAGATGAGGAAAAAAGTTGAGCAACAGTGCAGCAGAGATTTGAATCCAGGCCCTCTGATTGTAAGTCAATGCAATTTCCTTTAGTGTTGCTCTCCCAATGGTGGTAGCACACTGAGCCAAGGGTTCTCTGAGAGACAGACTTTCGCAGTGGCTGAAGTTTCTTCTATTCTCTAAGGATTCCCCCCCCCACACACACAGGTGACTAGAGCAATTTATTGGCTTTGGGGATGAATAAGAAATAAGCATCTCCCACAGCAAGACTTTCTCTTGTATGATCTTTCTGGGGAGGCTTCCAGAGTTCTCTCTCTCTCTCTTTTTTTTTTTTTTGCAATTGGGGTTAAGCGACTTGCCCAGGGTCACACAGCTAGTATCAAGTGTTTGGTCTGAGGTTGGATTTGAACTCAGGTCCTCCTGGCTTCAGGGGCTGTGCTCTATCCATTGCACCACCTAGCTGCCCCATGAATTGTCTCTTTTCCACAAATGATCTAGATGGGCTGAAAAGTTAGGCAGGAACCATGGCCTTCTGATTGGATAGAGAAACTCTCTGACCTTGCTTCTTGTGTTCCCTCTGGTCTGACCATTTCTTGAGGAGCTCTAGTGGGCTTTTATCCACAAGGACTCTGGAACTTAGGTGTTCAATTTAACCTATGCATCTTGCAGGTACATCTCCAGGTTCTTCTTTCATTACTAGCTAGTCCTTCTGAAGATTTTCCTGGGTTTTTTTTAAGGTTTTATTGATACCTCATCTTTATATCAATCATTTCTAATATCAGTCATTAACACCCTTCCCCCTCTTTCCATCTTTCCTACAATACGGAAAAACAAGTAAAGCAAAAGTAACAAATACTACAGCCACATTTGACTTTGCACATAACATTTTGCACTCATAGTTCCCCACCTCTCCAATGAAAGGAAGAGGTGCATTTCTCTATTTTATTTCCTCTGGAACCAAGATTGATTATTACAATTTTACACAGCTACTAAACTTTGCTTTATGCTTCTTTCTGTTTACATTATTGGAATCACTATATATATTTGGTTTTATGATTCTGTTCATTTCACTCTGTACCAGTTAATACAAATCTTTCCATTTTCTCTCCCCTTTTTTCTTCCTCCTGTGAACAGTAAAAGAGAACCACAGGGACATAGGATCACAACAGATCTAGGGCTGGAAGGCACCTCAAAATTAATCTAGTCCAAACTACTTATTTTACAGAAAAGGAAACTGAGGCACAAAGAACTTGAATGCCTTGCCCAAGGTCATACAGTGCTAGAATTTGAGCTTAGGTTCTATCATCCCAAGTTCAGGACCCTTTTTCCAGGGGAACTCTCCTCTCCAACCCCCAAGTCTTAGCATAAAAAGGAGCACAATACTTTATTTCTGGTCTATGAAGTAGGATTCCTAGTTATAGGGAAGGGAGACTATTTAGCTAGGCTCAAATAATGTAGCTCTGTCACATGATATCCTTGTATTGTTCCTATGAAAAGATAACAGGTATACCCACTTTTCCTAAGAGAAATATGTAGTCCCATAAGTGTAAGTCACAAACATCTAGAATCGGAGTTCAGTTCCATTTTGTCAGTATCTCTGAATGGAGGGGGCTGGACATTGATATCTTGGTTCAGGGGAGTGAGAGGTCATAAAAAGGAGTATAATGTATTATCTCCACTGAATAGGTCTAATTCTAGTCTTATAACACTCACTTTCACCCCAGTCTTAATCTATCATCCTGTAATGTAACTGTTTTCTGAAACAGAAATGTATTCCAGCTCAGCTCTCTTGCCATCAGATTTTCCTTACCATTTTGGACAGCAAAAAGAAGGGCAAAAGAGGGATGAGCTATTAAAGTAGCTGAGCCACTGGACCTGGGGGGATCCCCCTTTTTGAGCCCTGGGACTGAGAGCATTGAGGTGTGAACATTCAGAGGACAAGGGGACTGTGGTAATTGTCAAGACAGGAAATCAGTAGGGCTCTACAATGTCATATTGGTTCTTCAGGGATAGACATGCAGAAGAGGGGTTCAGCATTCTTGAATGGCATCTCTATCCTATCTCATTATGAGGATCTTGTGGGTCTGTGAAGCTTACTGGGCTATCAAAGGACAATGTCAAGACTATTGGCCCTTACCACTTCCATTTGGGGAGACCTTATTGTTAATTGTCTTCTTGGTTGGGTAGGGGATTATAAATTTGTGGGAATCCCCAATTGACAAATGGTTAAAGGATATGAACAGGCAGTTTTCAGAAGAAATTAAAACTAGTCATTATGAAGTCATATGTCAAATGTCATATGAAGAAATACCCTAAATCACAATAATAATATGAAGTCATATGATAGCCATATGAAGAAATATGCTAAATCACCATAATCAGAGAACTGCAAATTCAATATTCTGAGGTACCATCTCACATCCATCAGATTGACTAACATAACAGAAAAGGAAAATGACAAATGCTGGAGGGGATGTAGAAAAATAGATATACTAATACACTGTTGGTAGAGTTGGACCCATATGTTGGTGGAGAGGACCCATATGTACAAAAATATTTATAGCAATCTTTTTGTGGTGGCAAGGAACTGGAGATTTAGGGAATATTTATTCATTGGGGAATGGCTGAACAAGTTATGGCATATGATTGTGATGGAATACTATTGTGCTGTAAGAAATGACAAAGGGAATGGTTTCAGAAAAACCTGGAAGACCTATGTGAATTGATACAAAGTGAAGTAAGTAGAACGAGGAAAACATAGTAGGCAGTAACAGCAAGATCAAAATGATAATCAACTGTGAAAGACTTAGCTACTCTGATCAATGCAATGATCCTCAACAGTTTCAAAGGACTCATGATGAAAAATGCTATCCATCTCCAAGGAGAGAACTGATGGACTCTGAATGCAGAATCAACCATATTTTCTTTCACTTTATTTTTCTTTAAAAAAAAAATAGATAATAGGAAATATTTTGCATGACTTCATATATATAATGGATATTGTATGTCTTCCCTTTTCAATGGGTGGGAGGGGGATAAAGGAAGAGAATTTGAACTGAAAATTAAAAAAAAATTTGTGGGAAAACTAAAATCTAGGTTATATATACTTTAGTAAAAAATCTGTAGGGCCCTAAGTTTCAGCTATTCAAAGCCCCCTGGGACATGG